AAATAAGTTTACATCTTCCTCTTCCTCTATCTCCCATCTTCTTCTTTGCTTCACTACCCCTTTTCCCACTACCCAAACTCTACCCTTTCACCACTTTGCACAAGGTCCTCAAGTACCTCATGAAAAACAGCAATAGCAAAGCCATGCTTATTGTGGAGTCCACAACCAGAAGATGACGGTGCCTAGGCTCACACGGCTACTTAGGGGAAAAAGGTGCACCTTCAATTATGGAGTTCTAGGGAGTAGTATTGGTGGTACAAATTAGAAGAGTAAGTACGAGAGGAGGAAGAAGTCAAAGCCAATTGTGGGGGTTCGCAACAACTATAAGATTTCTAATGGTAATATTAGAACTAGTAGTTGGAAGGGATAGAAGGAACGTCGTTTAGAGTACTTGAATAATTTCTCTGTGTCGAAGAAGGTGATGACAAAAAGTTACTCGGATGCCTTGCATGTGGAAGAACATGGAGAAGATACCACCGTCATGATAAAAAATATCCCCAACAAATGCATGAGGCAGTGCAAAATTAGATTTGTCTTGTATCACAGCATCGACATGATAACATTTAAAATTTCTCTTCTTTTCTCAGTTCTTTTTATAATGGGTTCCAAAGCTCTAAACACTATGGCTGAGCCTTTTTCACGAAAGCCTACATTCTACTTAATGGAAGTATAAACTAAAATCTAAGTGTTTTGGAATCCATTCTTCACAAAGAGACATGCATTTCACGAAACTAGTTTCCACAATTGAACTGCCAAACATGTTTGCATATGTAACATCCCACATCGCCCAGGGAAATGGATCCTATATGCCTTATATGTATATTCTCATCTCTACCTATCATGAGGCCTTTTGGGAGCTCACTGGCTTCGGGTTCCGTAGGAACTCTGAAGTTAAGCGAGTTCACGTGAGAACAATCCCAGGATGGGTGACCCACTGGGAAGTTCTCGTGTGAGTTCCCAGAAACAAAACCGTGAGGGCGTGGTCGGGGTCCAAAGCGGACAAGATCATGCTACGATGGAGTCGAGGCCGGGATGTGGTCGGGGTCCAGGCTGGGATGTGACAGCATATACTTCGAGACCACCTATGCCAAAAATACCAAAAGAAAAAGTATTCAAAAATTAGGTAACTAGAAGAAATCATTTGACAGTTAAAAATGAAAAATCACAATTTAACAGTGGTTTTAGCTCTATTTTTTTTTTTTTTTTATAAATACAATCGTCAACCTTGGAAGAATAAGATAAACGAACCCGATTATCAATTTAAAATAATAAATAGTGGATACAACAAAAGCCTACATTCTACTTAATGAAAGTATATTCTATACTCTGGGTGTTTTGGAATCTATTATTTACAAAAGGACACATATTCTACAAAACTAGTTTCCATGATCCAACCATCAAACATATCTGCATATACATCGACATCTCCTAAGCCAAAAATCACCCAAAAAAATATTCGGAGATTAGGTAACGGGACAAAATCATTCGACGGTTAAAAACGAATCATTTTAGCTCCATTTTTTTTTTAACAAATACAATCCTCAACCCTAGAAGAATAAGAGGAACAAAACCAACTATCAATTTAAAATGTTTAAAATAGTGGATACAACCAGTGGCAGAGTCAGGATTTTAGGTGAGGAGGGGTCTCATACAAATGTTAAAAAAATTAAATACAGAGAATTGTTTTGGCACTCCGAAATTCTCATTTTGCACTCCAAACTTTCTATATTTAGAAAGAAAACAATACACTTGTGGAAGTGTGAAATGAGATTTGTGAAGTGCCAACAACAATTCCCCTAAATAAATAGATAGTATTTACAAGAGAGTATAATACATTCTTGGAGTTGTCAACTAATCAAATTTTTTTAGGCTCTAAATGTGACATCACACATCGCCCAGGGGAGTGATCCTTAAATGTATATTCCCATCTCTACCTAGCACGAGGCCTTTTGGGAGCTCACTGGCTTCGGGTTCCGTAGGAACTCCGAAGTTAAGCGAGAAGGGGGGCTAGAGCAATCCCATGATGGGTGACCCACTGGGAAGTTGCTCGTGAGTTCCCAAAAACAAAACCGTGAGGGAATGGTAAGCCCAAAGCGGACAATATCGTGCTACGGTGGTGGAGTGGGCCAGGGAAGTGATCCGCCCCGGGCCGGGATGTGACACTAAATGTTTGTTCTATGTTGAAGTTAACCTTCCATTCTCAAGTCAATATAGAAAGTAAATAATCAAAAATTAAAGAGGACAAAGAGAAATTAACCTTTTAATATCAAGTCAATGAGAAATGCTATGGATACTATGTTTTTAGACCATATTTTGGAGACCATATAACGTGGCCCCGTTTGATGATTGGATTCCTTGTTTAGTGATTTAAAGTGGTCCAACCATTAACTGCTATATAATCATGTGCTCTCAAATTATGGCTCAAGTAGATGCTATCTCTAGCATCACCCCACATCAATATAGAATATATTGGGAATTTTCGAACAAAAAATGAGAAGAATGGATTGGGAATTTGGTGAACAAAATAAATGAAATTTTAAAAATTTAGTAGAAAGTTAAAGAGAACAAAGACAAAATATATAAGATTTCAATAAGCAGAGAAGGAAAAACTCAAAGTTTATTATTCTTCTAAGGTTGTTGATTGTACAAAACTAATTTCCACGATCCAATAGTCAAACATGTTTGCATATACTTTGAGATCTCTTACACCAAAAATCACCTAAAATAACATTCGGAGATTAGGCAATGGGACGAAATCATTCGATAGTTAGAAATGAAACATCACGATTTAACAGTAGCTCTAGGTTCAATTTTTTTTTTTTTTTTTTTAACAAATAAAATCCTCTACCCTAGAAGAATAAGATAAATGAACCTGGTCATCAATTTAAAATAGTGGATACAACAAAAGCCTACATTTTACTTAATGGAAGTATAGAATAAACTCCAAGTGTTCTAGAATCCATCTTTACAAGGGCACACACATTCTACGAAACTAGTTCCCACGATCTAACCGTCAAACATGTTTACATATATTTCGAGATCTCATATGCCAAGAATCACCCATCAAAGCTGGATGTGCCTATGGAGGAGCTGACACCTGATCCAGAGGTCTTTACAATTGCTGATGGATGGGGTTGAGCGACGGAAAGGCAAGGAGCAGCCTAGGAGTGGGTTGGGCTTGGGACCTTGAGGGTCTTCTTCTTCAGCGAGTTCTAATCCTTCTACCGAAGCTGATTACATACTGTAGCAGGTAGAGATGGAGCTAGCACGCCAAATGAAGAAGGTAAGCACCTACAAGAAGAAGTGGCACAAGCTGCTACGCACGACCGAGAATTAGTGCACCTGTACTTCGCTATTGTAGCCCAATTTTGTTAGTTTCAGGCATCACGATTCATGAGCTCCCAGCCAAACTTTTTCACCCTAGTAGATTAAGTTTTTTTTTAATATAATTGTACGAACAATTTTTTTTTATTGTAAATATTGATTTTTAATAAAAATTAGAATTATGTAAATTAGTTATTATAAATATTTTTTTAATTAAAAAATTAGCCTTGAGGACATTTTCGTCATGCAGTTTTTTTTTTTTTTTTTTTTTTTTTTTTTTTTTTTTTAAATTTGGTTTGTTAGAGTTGGCTCGGTGACTCTTTCGTCGAGTTAAGTTCATCAAAATTATTTAATTCTTTGCTAGCCGACAAGATATCCTCGTTGGGTAAGAGGATTTCGTCGGGTTAATTCGGTTAACGCATGTTCGTCTGGCGAATATATTCGTTGGCCTAACTACCTTTTGCCCGACGAAATTTGTTTTCGGCGTAAAAGGTTTCGCGCAACGGGTATTGCTGGACTAATCTTTTCTACTGAACCTCAGTCTGCTAAAGGCTACTGCAACGAAACTAGCTTTTAGTCGACGAAAATTTTTCATCTGGTGAGGTTTTTTTTTTTTTTTTTTTTTTTTTTTTTGGTAGTGTCTCTATATTATATACTATATGCCCACACATTGTTTATTTTTGTGTTTAAAATGGGAAGGAGAGGGGGAGAGGGAGGGAGAGAGAGAGTGGAAGTGAGGAGAGATGTTTTTATTATTATTTATTTTTTAAGTCAAAGATATGTTAAAGATCATATGATTTTATTTTGTGATTGGAGACTAAATTATCTCTTCATCCTCTTTTGATTGACAAAAAGGATTTTGTTAATAGGTAGTTTATATATATCTTTTGCCATTTTGTCTGGTCAATTTTGGATTTATTGTTCATCTAATTTATAACTCCTACATACTTCACTATGAACAACCTAAAGACCAATAACAAGTAGAGAAAAATGTCATTTTTGTGAAAGTACCGTGTGACAACATAACACTGTTGTCAAACTTTAAATCTAAAACATTGATAACGTCATTCATTTTTCAACAGGATCATAATTTGAGTGTCAATATAAGTATAGCATGATAACACCACCAACCAACCAACAAGCATAAATACGTACTTTACAGTTCACTTCACTGTTTTAGCTTAGAGAAGCCGACTCCTAGTCCTAGGTTTGGCCATGCTTTCGACCTGAGAATATGCATACGCCAAAAATAAAGAATACAATGTTTTTCTTTCGTACTTCCATAGGATATTTCTAAGCATGGCAAAAGAGTTTCAACCTTTTGTAGTAGTTAGTGGAACCAATGAACATATTATTATGTTAAACCCACGTTTCCAAAATCTTTTAACCTTTTTTAACTGATATGGTCCGGCGTCAAAGACACTAACTACTACAAATACAATTCAGATACGTCACCCAAACAGTTTTTGAATTGTATTTGCATTTGTGTTGCCTAAACAGTTCATGTATTGTATTATCTAACTTGGTATAGCCAAGCATGACATGTACATAATTATGATCGATCTTGATGTAAAAGCTGCTTCTCCTTATAAGCATATAAAGATCTTTTAAAAAAAACAGATCTGTTCTTCCATTTTTCACATGGATAATTTGATACTAACAAGGACAAGAACAGATTACAACAGGATTTCTTTTTCATTTATACCCATATAAAATCATGTCAGTCGAAAGAGAGAGAAAAAGAAAAAGCTAAAAGAACCAAAAAGAAACAAAGGATAAAAACCAAAAACAAAAAGGAAGCACCATCTTGGCACAAGAAGTTGAGTTAGTACACAGTGTCAGCCTGTGTGAATTATGATCTATGACTGCCAGTCCACCTCACATCTCTGTTCAACTAAAGCTATTGACTCCCATGTGCATGCAAACCCCAAACATTGTCTTCTTTCATTTGTCCTCCAATTCCATTTCATGGTAGCGAAAACAAATTGTGATGTACTCATGCCATATAAATCTCTCACTCTCACATTCACCCCTAACACATATCAGCCAAATTATTCCATCCCGAAAATTGGTGTCTGAAAGAGATTGTTCTTTGCATGAGTCTGAAATGTGTGAATACTTGGCGCAATCCAACTTCCATAACCAGAAGAAGTTTCATAACCATTGTTGCTATTTAAGGCAATGGGTGTAGCAAATGGGATTGAACCAGTACCAGTAATAGTACTTTGTTCATGTTGGTGGTGTTGCAACTGTTCTTGGTGTCGCTGACCATCTATATTGAAGTTACCAAAGTACCCATTGTTCGTTTCAGTAGCAGAAGTGCTAAAAGTTGAAGAGAAATCCACGTTGAATGGCATTGGTGAGGAATTGTTACCATAAGACCCAATGGCACGTGACTGGAACAATGATGATGATGGTGCAACTGAAACAGTAGTAGGGTTTTTGGTATTGTTTTGAGAAGGGTTATATCCGAAAATGTTGGACCAGTAATCTGATGATGGGTCTTGTTTGAGGGGGATTGCAAAGCTTAGTATGGAGGAACTAGGTTGTTGAGATGCAAAGGTCACCGAGGATGCAGAGGAGAGATCTCGATCATCGGCTGAACGATTACCTTCGATGCTCTTACTGTCGGAGTCTGATGAGTTCTTGGATTTTCCGGACATTCCTCCTATGGGAAGGTTGCTGCTGGCAATGCTCTTCACATCGTAGCGGCTCATGTCAAAGTTGGTCACAGCATTTAGGCCTCGGAACTTGATTGCCGCAATGTCATAGGCCTCAGCAGCTTCTTCTTGGGTGCCTGTTTGATTAAAGTCCTTATTAATTAGAAACAGTCGACTATAGTTTTAAATCCTCTAAAAAGGGTTAAGAGACTCACTGAAAGTGCCAAGGTAGAGATCCTTGTTGCCTGCAACCCTTCCTATTCTTGCCTGCCATCTACCATGTTGATGATGCCTGAAATAAATAATTGGGTTTTATATTAGGAAAAGAAAATATTATTTAGTTCAATTAGGTCCTAATTTAAAATCGACTATAAAATAAACAATAAACTATGTGGGAACCACAAACCTTGTGACCCCTCTGTAAATAGAAGCTCCTCTAGAAAATCCACTACTTTTCCTACAACATAGAAAAACCAATATAGATAAACCACCAAATCTTTCAGAAAACTAACACCAAATAAAGTAGTATCCTAAAAAACAAATAAATATAAACAAAAAACATATAAATATACATCGAATAAAAAAACCATAGAAATGTTATAATTATCAAGTACCTCCGAAGAGAAGCAACAAATTCTTGCCTGGTCATGTTCTTCATCTCCGACAATTCTTTCTCGTAGTTAATAACCTTCAAAATTGATCATAAAGTTAGATCAAAGCATTTCAGATAAAAATAAGTGAAGTACATATATAAAGATATCGAACAATGTAGATAAATAGTTATTGCATGCAGCTGAGCTCACCGGAAAGTTTGTAGTGGTGGTCGGACCCCAGTACTTGAGAGCCGCCAGATCGTAGGCTCTTGCTGCCTTTTCTTCTTTATCATATCCACCTACAAATATTAACAAAATTTAAACAATGAAAATAAATATTTATTTAATTACATTTTCAACAATGAGAATCTAAATAGAATCTGACCCACAATTTGATGCATTCATGCAAAGAATATTTTTGCTACAGTAACCAAATCTATAGTGAATCTTAAAATTTGATGATCATATGCATTCACACGTACTTGATTATAATCATATTCATTATAATGGTGGTAAATAGTTCTTACAGAAAAGAGAAACAGTAAAAAGTGAAATTACTTACCCAAATAAACTGCAGAAATGAAGTCGATGATGATGATTCATTTGCGTCGTGTACATGCCGCAAAGCAAACAACCCACATCAGAATCTTTGCCCACTCATGAAACTAAAAACACGATGCGCACCATAGCAAATATAGCCACTTCAAATCTAACATACGCTAGAGGATCCATTAATGGATGATCAGCACCGTTCACAGAGCTAGATCCAAAAGATCCAGTGGACCCATTTATATTGTATCATATATTGTACACCTCAAGCGCATGTTAGAATCAAAGAGGGCCACAAAGAACCTTTAAAACCCTAGAAGAGACTAGTAGTAAAACAATGAAAATTACCTTGTCTGCCCTTCCTACTTTGTCCTTCTCTTCTGCAGCTGTTATCCCACAGATGCGCTTCATATCTTCCGGTCCACCTATGCCTAAATATTCCACCCCCAAACAAACAAAAATTAGTAATAATAAGCAAAAATTCTCAAAAAATAAAATACTAAAATAACTCATAAAAGGTATGAACTTGCAAGTTGTAGCTCTAGTAGTTAAGAGCATTACCGTGTAACTCCGCGGTAAATGGATGTGCGTTGGCCGAAGGTATCGGTGGGTTTTTTGGGGGTGGGATCGGATGAGGCTAGAGGGTGGTGGTTCTGTAGTTTGGTCGTTTGTAAAGTAGCAGCGGTGGTGGTGGTGGTAGCGGTGGTGGAGAAACCACGGAGGAAACTAGCGGCTATGGTTTTGAGTTCGGAGTCGTAAATCTCGTTTTGGGACAGAGCGAGAGGAGTGGTTTGATGATGATGATCGGCAGTAGAAAACCGAGGGAGTGAGGTCGGGGTGACGGTGTTGGTGGCGGGGGTGCAACCTCCGAGAAAATCCTCGAGCTTTGGTCCGGTAATTCCGGAACTGAAGATGGAGAGGTCGGTTGCTGAAGTTGGACTTGCACCTTGATGATGGTGACCGGCGACGGTAGCTGCAAGACAAAAATAAAGATTGATATGTGTTAGAAAAAAAAAAATAGAATGAGAGAGAGAGAGAGAGAGAGAGAGAGAGAGAGAGAGTTTGGGGACCTGCAGAGTGGGTGGGTGAATTGGAGGTGAAGGCCTCGAAGAGGGAGAGATCGGGAGAAGGGTGATGATGATGAGAGTGGTTGGAAAGAGAGAAGCCGAGGAGCCAGTTTTGAGGAGAAGAATCCATGTTTTTTGTGTTTTTCAATATCGATTTTGATGATGGATAGATAGACAGAGATATATGATATAGAACAAGCAAAATACCCAAGTGAATGTGAAAGTGTGTCAATCAAAGTTAAGGTAAATGAACACAAGATATTGAGGAGGTGATAGAGAGCAGAAACTAGCAGTGGTAGAACTAGTATTCTTTAGTAGTAGTAGAAGAAGAAGAAAGATATGAAGAGGTGAGATCACTCAGATGAATGAATAGAAAGAGGAAAGAGAATGCTATTAAGGGTTGCACGAGGACCGAGATTCATTTTAATGAATTAATAAGAAGATAAAATATTTGAACAAGTGGTAAGAGAGGGAGCAAGAAAGCAAGGTGGAAGCTTTTGATGGGATGACTGAGCGGTGGCTATTTATCTCTCTTCTCCTTAGGTCTTGACCGAAGAAGGCGTTACTTTATTCTATTTTTTGATTGTTTGAGAGAGAGAGAGAGAGAGAGGGAGAGGGAGGGAGAGGAGAGAGGGTGTTGTTGTGTGTATGAACATAGGGAAGCAAGAAGCAGAGCGAGGGGACACCGTGACCCATAAGTAGGATGATGTGTAGGACTTTTCTTTAGGACTTGGTGATCAAAATCCTTTCAATTCCTCCCTTCCATTGCCGCGTTTCGTTTCCTTTTGTTCCTTTCATAAAAATGATTCTCACCTGCAACAAAGTTACCACTTAACAATAACTGAGTTATGACACCTTTTATTGACCCGTCACAATTGTTATAAGAGCGTAGAAATCATCTGCCACGTTATGGCTTCAATCTCTCTTCTCCTGGACTACTAGTACTACATAATCACTATACCTTCAATTTAATTCTAGGTGACCTTAAGTTGGTCACATGTCGACCACTTTGCTATAGTTTGGGAAGATTTTGGTTAATTAAAGGCTTAAAGCACACATATTGCAGCCCCTCATATCCTTCTTTTATTCTTTTTATTAGTTGAAATGATCAATAGGATTAAGTGAAGTCTTCTCTTCAAATCTTATAGATGAATTGTTGGATATCAATTTATTATTCCAGTCTTTATTGTAGCCTCCATTGCAATGGTGATGTGGCAGATGAATTTGTAATAATCAGAGATGAGTTAGGGAATCTATAGCGATCACCTTTACTTTGCATATTGAAGCCTTGGACAATTAGGCTCTAGTAATTAAGAGTTGGGATTGAAGAAGACTTAATTTTAATATCCATACAAAGAGAGAAGACAAGATTATAAAAATAGATAATGAATAAAGAAGAATAAAAATAATCAAATTCAAGTAGATTGTTGGAATGCGAACTCTTCAAATAACAAATTTTACTTTTCAAATTGCTATATAAGTCTATAAATGTTAAGTAGCAAATTTTAGACACACTGGTGGAGATCATTTTCTAAACCACTTCTCCATTGTTATGCATACCCAGTTAATTTACATGAAACCTGTTTGGCAGGTGTGAAACTCCAAGGGAACACAAACCAGCTACAACTGGTGTCTAAAGTCGTTATATATATATTTAAAAACAATACGTGACATTAGTATGTTAAGGTGAGGATGACTAAGTGAAAAAATTGCTTGCATTTCTCTTAATTTTGTGATTAGTGTGAATGTGTTGTTTGAAAGACCTATATGGTTTTACCATCAAAGCAATAGCTTATTTTTGGAACGATAGATAAGGGACGTAAATAAGTAACAAATAGAGTGGAGATTAATCAGCTATACTTTGTCATATTGCTTCATACTTGATATTATTAGCATTCAAAGAATTTATAGATAAGAGAGAGAGAGAGAGACGGTGGAGGTGTGGGTGGCCTGATCTGCGACAGGATAGATTAGGTAATGGGATTCACATGCTTGCATGTCATCTCAACGACACGTGTGCATTGCGAATATGTTTGTTTATAAATGTGATGCGTACGTGTCGTCCTGCATGCATGAAATGAAAAATCGGATTGTGAATATTAATTAATATCTTTATGGTATGAGGTGGTGACAAGTAATTTTATAGGGCCGGTATGTGGTACCTGGAGAGACTACGTTACGTACTCCAGCCGTCCCAGAGAGCCTGCAGTGCTGGCTGCTCTTCCATCTGCGGCTGCTGCGGCTGCTGCTGCTGCTGTGCTGTGCTGCATGCATTCTCATTCAACTTGCCTCTTAAATTATATATCATGAAGATCCTCTCCTCCTCTTGGTGCTGCTGAGGGTCCATGCCGTCGATCTCTTCTATTTGCTTCTGGTTCATATTGTAATATTCAACCTATCTTCCTCCGATTGTTAAATTTTTGTTAACAAATCAAAAAGGAAAAGATATAAAAGTAAAAAATGTATACTACACACTACCAAGATAATTATTAAATAGAAAGACTACGTTTTGGATTTAGTCATATTAAATTTATTGAATTACAAGTGATATAAATACAAAGACTTAGTTTTAAAATGAACAGAAAAGCAATACCAAATAGTAAAGTAATGTTCAACAATTCACTAGTAGAAATATGAAAATACCTAAAAATTTAGAGTAGAGTGCATACTCATTACGTATTCTCATCGCAATTTATACAACAAATAAAGATAAAATTTACAAATACAAATAGGTGTACTAAGTATAGCATTTTTTTTTAGAGTAAACTACCATAAAATTAAACCACATTACTAACTTTCTAACCATTTTAACATGAAGGTTCTATCTTAACATGAGTAAAAGTGCTTTCTTTTTAGATTGTGTGGCAAGTCTCAAAAGTTTTAAGATGTCTATGTTATCGGTTCAGTTGTTTTGTCTGATTTGTGATCCAAATTTACAGTTTGATTACAATATAAGAAGGAGTGTGATATCCACACACTCTATTTTACTTATTACACACTTTTTTAATTTTCAACTGTCGGATCGGATGAATTAAAGAAGATTAACGGACATAAATTATCAAGAGGTGTGTGAGAAGTAAAATGAGGTGTGTGGATAGCACACCCCTATACGAATTGTCTAACAACATATTCAACTTTATTTATAAGCGATAGATTTTAAGTTGATTCAAATTAAATAATGTTCATCACACTTTTTGGCAACAATATAATAAGAAGTATGACATCCACACACCTCTTTTTTACTTCTCATTCACTTTTTTAATTTTCAGCTATCGAATCAAATGAATCGAAGAATATCAAAAGAAAGAAATTAAGGAGTGTGTAATAAAAAGGGCTATAATAAACTATCCAATACAATCTTATATCTTTCGCATAATGTTGGTTATTGTGTACTCTCTCTCTCTCTCTCTCTCTCTCTCTCTCTCTCTCTCTCTCTCTCTCTCTCTCTCTCTCTCTCTCTCTCTCTCTCTCTCTCTCTCTCTCTCTCTCTCTGTGTGTAAGCTGTGTGAGAAGCCAAATGCCACCTCTCCTCCGGAGGCTGCGGCCACCTGCCCCCAAGTGTTTAATATACAAGGCTAGCGCGTGGTGAGTGAAGGACAAGACCAAGTTGACCAACCACCCAAAATCCAAGCTGCAGGACAAAGAAAACTCCACATGCATGAATGAGAAAAGTAATTAAACAAAGATTAGGTATTACAACACCAGTTGGGAAGATAAGGGCAGAGCCTCAAAACCCGGATAAGCGTTAAAACTGCTTTTACACTAAGCAACCCAAAAGCGATAGATTCCCCCATAAATTTCCAAAAGTGTGCATTGCAAGTGAACTAGTTCTCAAGCTGAAGCCTCGTATACATTCAGAAAGAAAAGGGAAGAGAAAGCATAGATTGGCAAAGAGCTTAGTAGATTTTGAGTTTTATTTAGAATAAACGATATTTTAAACTACCTTCATTAACAGAAAAATGATGGCATAAATCCGAAATGCAGTGAATTAAAAAAAAAAAGATGTTAACTACCAGGATAATCTATAACTTGCATTAGAGTTTGCATTTGGTTTCTGATTAGAAAAATTACAGTTAAAAGCTCAAAAAAAAAAATATTAGTATGATGAAATTGGCTGGCTTTCACATATCACAATTTGAAAGCCCAAAATTATGTCGACGGTCAAACAAAGCTTAAAGTAGTAAAAAAGCAATGTGCAGTGTGCATGGTGGTGGGTTTGTGGTCAAAGAAACGAATCATTCCTCACGTTCGCGCTCCATTTCTTTATTATTACTTCATCATCACATCTCATATGACATTTTCATGTTTCTTTCTTCTTCTTTTTTTTCCCTTCTTACTTGTATTTTATTTATTTTCTTATAATTTTGTTATTTCTTTTTCTCTAGATCCCATTATTGTCATTTCAATGAATTTGTATTGTATCTACATTCTGTGATGTGGGGATAAAGATTGTCTCTGATTTGAAACATGTCCTTATGTGTGGACGCGTGGGCCCTCTGGATACAAATGATTTTCAACTACTGATAAACTCTCTCTGTTAGTCAAATGAATAGCTGCAAATTCTTGAGTCTTTAATTTGATAATATCAATTATCAAGAGAGAAAAGATTAAATTAACTTTTTAATTTTTTTTTAATCTCAATAGTTGTTGATATAAACTTCAAGAGTAATGCTCATAAATAATAGAACATCTGATGATCAAGAAAACAAAATTCATGATAAATAGAATCTTTATATATACAGACTCTTTACTAAAGAGATCTCCGATCAAAATATGAACTACAAGACTCACCTCACATTAAACTTCAACGATACGAACTGTTTCTTTTATAAGTCTCGGTTCATAGTTGTGGGCCCCATTTATGTTGATCAAAAGAAGGAAACCCTTCATAAAAGGGAGACTGAAGGGTAAACAAATCAAAACTCCAAATTCGTGTGCATTGTTAACCAAAATAAGAACCAGATGCACAAGTGAAATTTTGAAATTTACTTGGCTTTTTTCTTTTCATTTTCTTCTAATTTGGAATAGTCAAAACAAACAATTTAACCGCGTAATGTAATCTGAACAAACTAGAGGTGGCGTTCCTCCAACCGTATGAGGGCTTAGTTTATGCCCGAGGTAAAACTTAATGAGTTTTATGAAGCTTGAAATGAGCTCGAACTCAACCAACCAAAGCATCCAAGTGTTCGTATACTGCGCGACCTCGTGCAAATCTAGTAGAGGAATTGGACAATCAATGCAAACGAGAATAGAATATACTGCCCAGGTGGAAAACGAATTCCCCCCTTGTTAGTAGGTTTCTTCAGTTCAAGATACTTGGACTCTAAGAACAAAAGGCAAAGTGCTGATAGCTACTTCAACATGCAATCCTCTGTATATCTCGCATTTCTAGTTGTACCATCAAGGCTTCACAGAATAACGTAAAAGAGCGCAACCTAATTGCGGCTAAAACTGTCGTATTGAGCCAACTCAAGCATTCGCAGTTGATTTGTAGTGAAAGTCATCAACTGTTGAGTAAACTTTGCCTTCCTGTACAAGATTGTCAATAGCTAACCTGTCGATGGCCACAAGATGTAGGATTCAGATATCAGTTTAGTGTGCAGGTAATTGTGAGCGTGCACGTGAGCGTGTGTGTCAGGGAGAGAGAAAGAGAGAGACAGAGAGAGAGACATGAGATCATTCACTGGAATTTTCAGTTGTCGTGCTATATCCTCAAGGTGCGCCCCCTCTTCCCTTCCACTGGAAACACGCAAAGCTAGTTACAATTCAGTGCGAAAAAGAAAAGAAACAAAAGGAAACGCTTACATGCTGGATTTCACACATTTGCATGCAAAAGAAACAAATCAACACTACTGTACAATTATCTACGCATTATGTACGCATTTAGTACATCCATAATCTGCATGCCAGAACTTCTTAAGCGCATCCTACCCCTTGCCTATTTTCAATCTCAGAACTTGAAAATGAAACACCTTGTTGCACTATACAAGGCGGCAGCCTAATTTCAATCTGAGAACTTGAGCCACTTGACAATGACCTCGAATATTCCGTAACATTTTTTTATCTAACACAAAATAGAAATGCCACTCACATAAACGTTCTTGAGTTTTACCCAAGAAGTAACAGCCAGTCTTGTAAAAAATATAAGCAACTATGAAACGAAGGGGCACAATGCATTTAATAGACGAATTTAGAATTATTATTTGTCGCTGACCTATTTACATAAGATTTGTGCTCAAGAAGAAAAACTAAACCGAATTATTCCATAATCAAACAGAATACGAGATGAGTAAACAATCTTGCTCAGGGCTCAGTTTTGCCCTATGTGTGTGGAGTTCTGAGTAATATCCCAGTAAGCGAATAATTTGACAAACTATCTTCTCATGGGCCAGCCAATATGCATCACTATCTCATTCAAAGTTCAAATAAGTATTTATCACTGACTCGCATTATCTACATAAATATAAATTTTATGGTAGAAGATTTTGTTTCTTCTGTTTTTGCAACACTCATCAATTAAATACACCAAATCTCTTGGCTAATACAAGTGCTTTTCTTGTCTGAAATAGAGATAAATTGACCCAACCAAATGGATATGCTAACCTCCATACCCCCTCCAAAATAGCCATCTTCCTTCCCACAAGATAGAAGAATAACCTTATAAACCAAAACAAGGCCATGCAAAACATACAACATGGGAATTGTAATATGCTAAAAGATGTTTGCTAAAACTCATACAATATCAACAATTTGTTTTCATTGGGCTTGATTTTAGTTTCGGGGAGTTTTGACAGTAACACAAAACTACCTGCTAAATATTGAGACTGTTTTGCCGCTTGGGTTGCTTCACAGTAATATGCTTATAAAATAAAAAAAAAACACACACACACACACACACACACACATATATATATAACTATTTTCAAGGTTACAGGTACTCACAGGTATGAAGGGTGGCTCAAAATTTCTAAGACCTTTACTTCAATGCTACTCTGTCCATCGAAGCTATATTGGCCAGATAACTGAAGTAAACAATGAAGTGGGCTAGTAAAGCAACAATAAAAAATACATAGTATTAAAATCTATATTTAAACATCTAACCTGATTTGTTGGAAATGTCATATGTGGTTGCGCTGTGACACCAAAATCAGCAGGTGGTTTCTATTACAACATTAACAGAGACATCAGAAGATCACATCATATACTTCCAAATCAATCTAACTACACAATCCAAGCTAAAATCACATATTCAGTGGGTAGACCAATACCCGTAATCTGCTGTTGTATAAATGGACATAGATGCACTCAATGAAGTGGCTGGCAATCTCATTATAGTCACTCACAGGCCTGAACATTACACCAACTTCAGTCTCGAAACCTCAATATAAATAATATCAGAAGTATTGGTTGGTTAATTAAGTTGACCCTGCTTCATGAAGTCATCCAATGACAACTTAGTAATATTCAAGCTCTGAAACCTAGGGCAAGTATTTGGTCCCAACTTAAAAGCCAGATCAAACAATTAGAATGAAATTTTCCTGACCGTAAGGACATTCTTGGTATAACATATTGTAATGATATATTACTGATATGGAATTTTCCTGACGGTAAGACAATCAAAACACAGTAGACCTCAAATTCAATTTAAAACTAGAACACAGTCAGATACAAGCATACAAGCTATAAGACATTTCATTTTCACCTGTACTGTATCACAAGAAACCTTGTAACCTCTATGAAGCTCCTTCTTCAAAAAAAAGATAACAAAAAGATAGAAGTAAAACATTCTTTTAGTCAGAACCAGGTATTGCTGCTTACTCAATTTTTTATTCTCTCCATTCAAATTCTCCCCCATATCAAATGATAGGTCATGAACTACTTCCACAAGATGAACCAAAATATTCTTTGTATCTGACTTTATAGAATCGAAATGAAAAACCTATTCATTTGCAGCTGTGCTAATATTCCCTCACATATGTATGAAAAGTTAACAGGCCGAAATTTAGCTCAGAAATACCAATATAATAATTACCATTAATTTTGCCTTAAAATTAGGGAACTATTATTAGCACTCCAAAAATCTCATTTTACACTCCTCACAAGTGTATTTTTCTTTCTAGTTATAGAAAGTTTGGAGTGCCAAATGAGATTGTTGGAGTGCTAATAACAATTCCCTAAAATTAATCTTTTTCCAAGACAATTTATATCAACCATTGCATTTTCTTCCCAATTTCAAGTGATTCCGTTAACTCAATCTTTATAACGATGGGATGGTTATTCATCTTCTAACATAAATTGAATTGTGAAACTAGACATGAAGAATTCTCAAGCATAACATTTATGTACAAAATGAACAATTACTGAAAGTGACCATTATGAAGCAAAAAAGGAAAATAAAATGCTAACATTAACACAAGACAAATAAACAAAAGAAAACAAAATACTATTAATACCTCAAGACAAAGAATTCCACACAAAAAAAATAAAAAAAAATAAAAAAAATAAAAGAACAAAATAAAACAAAACAAAACAAAACAAAACTTTACCTAAAGACAGACAAAGAGAACTATTCCTCATAAGTAAAAAGCGTGAGACAAAAGGGTGTAGAATTGTACCTAATAGAGAAGACATTTAGGGTCTTCTTACCCTGAAAGCTCTTCAAGCGTCCATGAATCCGGACATACATTCCATCCCTAATATCAAAGATAAACGTTAGGATGCAACTTATGATACAGAAAATAGAAAAAAACTAACTTATTTCATGAAATTCATAGCATGAAATCAGAATATATCTTAGAAACATGGAATAAAATGAATCAGAATATGAGCAGTTTTGCAACTTACAAATTGCCACATATAATCCCTTGATAATGTTACACTTAAAACACTTCAAACCAATACTTCAGAAATACACCTACTAACTTTCAATGGGAGTATAGCATCAAAGGAATGTCGCAACTAAAAACAAGCTAGAAAATGTCAAGTGTATAGTTGAGGGTTTTTTTTTTTAACTCCAATTGAGCTCTCTAAGTGCTTTTGTATAAAACTAATAGCTGTCCGGGTATTTTTATATTTACTATAATTAAAAGACGGTGAAAAACAAGAGAGGATTTTCTTTAAATAAACGTTTCACAGACACATTAAAATCTACTTGTTCATGCAAGTACAGTCCAGAAAGAGGTGCAACTGGTAGGCAAGAAAGAAGCATACAAGATTCTTTCCATTTCATTTGCGTCTTTTGCTTCATGAAACCTACAAAACACAAGAAACCATAATTCACATAGAATCAAGAAACTCACTAACATATAACAAACAAACAAACCAATGAAAAGAAAAGCTTGATAAAACTCACCACTTGTTACACTCCATCCTTCCAGTTCCGTCGTCAAGAAAGAAAGCAACATCTGTAATTCTTCCAATTTTTTCACGTACCATCCCAACAAGTGTAACCTGAAGACATGAAAAGTTAAAATAAAACCCGACACCAACGATTTAAAAACAAAAATGAAAAACAGAAACAACAAACCCACATTATTCACGTCGACACTGTCAATAACAAATTCTGATTTATCAACTGCTGAGACACAAGCATCAGTTATCTGCTTCACTGTCAGTGGAAGCAATGTCTGGATGTCACGATTCTGAAAAAATGAATCACAAACACCTTAACAACCGCGCTTTAATTGGTCTATGAATAATACACACATCTGTAATTTCTTAAGAAGACATACATCGGTGCTGCAATTGAGCAATGCAATATCATAGAACACAAAACACACATATCCCTATGTCTCTGTTTGGTTTATATACATGGAAATCATGAGAAAATGAACGATTTCGTAAACTACCCATCAATTTAAAACCCTAGAAGTCCACAAAATTCTTAGCCAAAGAGAGTGGTATAACCCCCGATTGCCGCACCGAAAGTTTCAAGTTTCCGGCGGTTTCTCGGGAATCAAAAACAGAGAGGAACCAGAGTTACCCTGGTGGAAGAGAAAGTGGTGTCGGTGCCTGTGTGGGTGGCCTGAGGGGGCATGAACCCACCGCCAGAGAAGGCCGCACTGCCATCGAATTGGGTGAAGCTCATGCTTTACAGAGAAACCCTAAGATTATATGAAATTTGCCCGTGGAAGGAAGAGTGAAACTTAAATAGCCAATAGGTATAAATGGAAATTGGATTCCAGGGCCCTTTTTTATTGGGAAAATTTATTTGGATAATATTAGTACTGAGTATACTGTATACTAACTTTCTGATTTGATCCAATTAAAAAATATCTTGTACTTGATATTAGTGATTTAATCTAATTAAAAAAAGGGACGTTTTGATATACACGCTTCTTTTTTAAATATCATATACTAAACATCTATTCCTTTTGCAAATTTAATTAAACATTTTTCCTACAATTTACTTTAATTTTATTTCATTAGAAGTCTATTCACGTTAGCATTCTCTTTTTTTCTCCTATTTTTATGCATATTTTATTATGATGATTTAAGATTTTTTTATTTTTTATTAAAATATTTATTTTAGTAAATTAAATAGAATGTAATAAAACTCGTTTTTAAGTACGTTTGATATATACATTTGATTATAATGGTACATTTAGTTACTTGGTACATTTGAATTTTTGATCCATTTAGCTTCTTGGTACATTTGAATTTTTGGTTGGTTTGTTTTCAAAACATAAGTTTTATTACTTTTTGTCCTAATAATGAGGAATTACTTTAATTAATTATTATTTTTTTATAGAAAGAGTCATTAACAATGTAAAAGTTTAAATTACTTTAATTAATTATTTTTTAATAGAAAGAGTCATTAATCAATAGACAATAGCCTTTTTGTTAATTCAAAATTATATGATTTATCGTTATTATTTATCATTATCTACAATAATAAGGATTTATCTCCGATCAACTAAAAGTTGTTCTAGAGACTTATGTACCAAAAAACAAGACTATCTAGAGTATTGTGTATGAATCAAACATATTTTTAAACATTCCAAAAAGATGAATATTCATTTTAATATAGTTTATAATTAGGTACGTTTTAATTTAGGATTGGTACGTTTTCGTTTGACGTTGGTATGTTTTCATTTAATGTTGGTACGTTTTCATTTGGCGTGGGTGTATATTTAGATTTGAAAAGTTTAAATTTTTAGACTTAAATATAGTTGAAATTATTTAAAATATATAACAGATATTTAAATGTAAATTAATTTCAATTAATCTGAAGTAGTTCATGTCACATTCCGGCCTGGGCCCCACCACACCCCGGGCTCGACTTCACTGTAGCACGATATTGTCCGCTTTGGGCCCCAACCATGCCCTCACGGTTTTGTACGATATTGTCCGCTTTGGGCCCCGACCATGCCCTCACGGTTTTGTTTTTGGGAACTCACACAAGAACTTTCCAATGGGTCACCCATCATGGGATTGCTCTCACGCGCTACTCGCTTAACTTCGGAGTTCCGATGGAACCCGAAGCCAGTGAGCTCCCAAAAGGCCTCGTGCTAGGTAGAGATGAGAATATACATATAAGGCTTACATGATCCTTATCCTTGGGCGATGTGGGATCTTACAATCCACCCCTCTTAGGGGCCCGACGTCCTCGTCAGCACACTTCCGACCAGGGATTGGCTCTGATACCAAATTGTCACATCCCAGCCCAGGCCCCCACCACATCTTGGGCTCGACTCCACTGTAGCACAATATTGTCCGCTTTGGGCCCCGACCACGCCCTCACGGTTTTGTTTCTAGGAACTCACATGAGAATTTCTCAGTGGGTCATCCATCATGGGATTGCTCTGGCTCGCTACTCACTTAACTTCGGAGTTCCGATGGAACCCGAAACCAGTGAGCTCCCAAAAGACCTTGCGCTAGGTAAATATGGGAATATACATATAAGGCTTACAGGATCTTCACCCTTGGGCAATGTGGGATCTTACAGTTCAAGTCTGAGTATCTTAATCAAATGTTTCAAAAGCTTAATCAAAAACTTAAAAAGCATAAATGTTTAGTCTACAAAAGTCTAAAATGAGACATCTAATTCTAATTTTCTCTTAAAAAAATGCTTTGTATTTCATATTTTTTATTTTTTGTCAAAAGATAAATTTTATTCAATCAAGTCTAATAGATAAGTTTACATCCTCAGCAAGAATATTAAAAAGAAAATCGGGACCAATACAATCCTAAATAAAAGAACCACCTGCCGATTGAAAGAAAACCACTACAGCGTGTGCCGCTTTATTGGTTTCACGATGAGAAAACACAAACTTCACGAATTCCATATAGCTGGCAAGGTGCCAAATATCATGTAAAATACCCTCCAAAATCACATCAGCAGCCATTCGTCGATTTATCATTCCAATAATCACATGTTTTTAACAAAATTTTAACTTTACCCTTAAATTTTGATTTTAAAAAATTAAAAAAAATAGTAGCTCGCTAAGTAGTTTGTTTCTCAATTATAGGCTTCACCTTGGCCTTCATTAGTGAATCATGCAATTGTTGTATGAAAGGTGTGCCACCGTTGGTTTCCGCCAGCGAAAAGATGTATTTGTGGATGCAAATTTCCGCCGTCTTCTCCTTTGATGAAAATGCACTTGCAAAATAATAACACCTAAGATTAAGACCAAAAGCCTCACGTGCCCACGATGAATTGGATGGGGGCCTTTGGCCAAAGAATTTCCGATGCCAAAGTTAAAATTTGAGAGAGAAAGTGTATAGGAATTTTTGGGGAAAGAATGAACCAGCTTTTTGGTGGAGAAAATAGGAATATTTATAGGGAAGTGGCCGACCCTATTTGGAGAATAGGGAACGGCCATTATTGGTAGAATTATGAGTTTAATTGCAAGATATTATGTGAAATAATATCTTGTAATTAACTTGGCAATCAGTCCTAACTTAAAAAGGATAATTGGGAGTTACCTTTTGAGTGAGGATTTGATAAGGAGTGATGAGAGAGATTTGAATAAAAACCATTTTGATCACCTTTGACTCTTCCTTAATTAAGCTTTTATTGTCCGTTGCATGTACGTGGGAATCCTGGTGTGCCTTAAGGGTAATTTTGTCTTTTTCTACCCAAAAGTCCACATGTCACCTCATTGATTATTTTTGGCTCCATAAATGCCCCATACATGTTGGGCTACTCGCAAGAAGGGGCAGCAGGTGTAGAGATCTTCCCTTGCTTTAGGAACATAATATTGTTTCTTATTTTGATGTAGATTCCCTCATTAGTTGGAAATTAGGTCCTTCTAGGAAAGGGAAATAAATTACTTCTGAAGTTTATTTAAGTCTACCTTAAGTAGATGATTAAATCAACTTCAGAGAGCAATTTATTCTACCCTACAAGAGAGAGAAAGCTAGAGGATATTTGTTCCCCCTCCCCTAGCAATCTTCTACACTTGCATGTGTAAAAGATCGTATTTCGTTGCTTTCTTTGTCTTCACGCCGCACCAAGGTAAGAATTTTTTTAATTTTCCTTGTTTTCTTAATTTTTGGGAGCTTCATGGCTTGAAATTTGGCTTGACAGGGGTCGAGGATGTGTGAAAAAATGGTTGGAGAGGGCCATGGCATTGCTGCTGTCGACTTGGTCCGGTAGCGGCTCGGCGCGAGCCAAGGTCTGGGTGCAGCGATGTGGGTAGTAGAGGCAAGTTGGGGCTCAGCTTGGGTCAAGAAACTCTTAGCTTGGGCCGAGATTGAAAGGCACTGGGTCTGGGCAGTTGTGCTTAGGCTCATGTTAGAGAAAGGAAAGACCAGGCCGTGAGGCCTGGCGCGGCTATTGGGTTCCTGCAGTCTTGGGCCGTGACTTGGTCTTTGGACCATAAGGCCTGATGCCTTGAATTTTTATTTTTATTTTTTGCAACCGTTTAACAAATTTTCCTCACGTCTTTGTAGAATTTCCTTGAGCATGTCTTCTTCAAGCCATAAAAGTGATAATGGCATGCCACCATTGTATCGTCAAGGCGGGTCTTTGAGTAAGGTGGGAACTAGCTCCGATGACTCATTTAGAGACTTTCTTGAGGCATATAAGCACGCCATTTCATTGGGGGTACGAGTGAAGTGTGTTAAGGAAGGTAACAGCCGTAAGCCATATAGTGGAGCTTGGAGAGCCATCAAGTTTCACCCTTACTACTTCGTGTTGGGATTTACTTTTCACATGCCACGTTTTTTCCCATAAGTGTTTTGCTCTATGAAGTGTGCCCATGTTCAATGTTCTTCAAATGCGGTCCGTGTAATGGTGAGGTTCCTCAATCTAAGCCAATTTTTTGACTTGGATTTGACCATCAACAAATTATGGTACTTCTTTGACATAGGCCACATTGAAGGAGCTGGGCAGCTACGATCCTGCCATAGGTTTTTCAATCATTCGAGGAAATGAGATCATGACTAGCCAATGAGACTTTGGGGATAAGTGGAAAGTAAGAGTCTAATTATTCCCCTGAGTTGCGTGTTCCAACGATTTTAATCACTAATAAATTGGTTGTTTAGTCTCTAGGTTGCTTTGTACTTTTGCTTAGCTGCTCTCTAATTTATTGATTGTCCTCATCTGCTTATGTAGATTTGGAATTCGGCTCAACTCCCAAGACTTCTCCAGATATAAAGAAGGTGTATGCTGCTCTAGGTATCTCTTCTGAGTACCATGAATGGCATTGGCTGCTTAGTCATCTTCACTAGGAGAAAGTTGGGATGCCTCCGAGAAAGGAGATAAAGCGGATCAAGATGGAGGCATTGGCTCGTCCGATCACTGTCCTGGAGCCTGTAGTGAATAAAGGTAGAAAGAAGATATTTTCCCCACCTGCTTAAGAAATGTCAGCTAAGAAAAGCCGAAGACTTCCTCACGTGCTGCCGATAAGCTTATGATTGATTTAACTTCTTCTAAGGGGAAGAAAGATGAGGCTGTTAGATCTGAGCCGATGATGCATTCCATGCCAAAGATGGCTATTACGATTACTGATAGGAATGCTCAGCATAAAGGTTCCGTCTTGCCCCTAGTGCTGAAATTTGTGCCAAGATGTCCGTCGAGAGCTAAGTCTGGTTCACCTTCTGAAAGGTTTGCCACTATGAAGAGCAATAAAGTGGACTATGTTGCTAAAGCAGCACCAAAGCCCACTCCCCTCATTGCTGAGACTGATTTACTAAGATTTATGCACTTTTGAAACCAAATTTGCTTGAAGACATGGACG